GAGGAAATAATAAGAAAAACATAACTTGAATTATGATCTAATGAAAAAGAACATTTTAGCTGTAAAGGCTAAATTTCAGAGTCGTTAACGCTCCTTTTAAAAAGTAGCTAGCTCCCGCTACTACCTTCTCAAAAGGAGCTAGCTCCCGCTACTACATTTTTAAAAGGAGCTAGCTCCCGCTTCAAGTAATGGAGTGGCACTCCATAACCGCTAATTTGATTTTCATTTTTTGAAGGTATACGAAACAAAATCATATTTGTTTATCAAAAAGCTTTATTTATATAAATGATCTATCAAAAAATTTATAACCTTTTATTAGCTTTTAAAAGTAATTAATTTTCTAAATTAGAATCTAACAAACATCCACGCCTCTCCCCTAAGACCTCTTTTGCAATTGAAATACTAAATAGGCGCTCTACAAGAGCACTAGAGGGAAGCGCGGTATTGTATTTTATAAAGATATTTTTTTAATTCAGGGAATTTATCAAAAATAGTAATTTTGTTATTATTATTTAAAAAATATTTGTCCAATATATTATCTTCCTGATGATCAATTTCATGGAATCCAAAAAAAATATTCCAAATCATTTTGTATTTAAAAGAAAGATTTTTTACTTTAAGATGCTTTTTTAGATTCAAGCTGCTCACTTTAGAAAATTAAATAGCTTTATTTAAACACAAAAGGCATTTTGCCCTTAAATTTGTTTCATCATTTGGATCAACATCTTTTAGTAGTTTAAAATATTTTTAGTATGATGGAAATGGAAATTCGATTTCTTCATCTATGATCTCTAAATACATAATATCTAAAATTATCTTTTGTTATATATCTATAAAATGAATATTAATATGACTTACAAGATTTTTCAAAATATTCTCAATATAAAAAGGAAAAACTTGATGTTTAATATTTAAAATGATTAGATGAAAAACCAATATAAAACTCAGCTAAGCATTTAATAATGGATAAATTTAAAAAAAATAAAATTTCATTTTTATTGAATTTTAAAGAAATATTATTAATATTTATATAATAATTTAATTTATACATTAAATTTAAAGAAGCGGTGGAGCGGCGCTCCTCCACTCCAGACCTAAAAGGAGATAGCTCCCGCTCCCACTCCCACTCCTCAATTTTAAAAAGGAGGGGGCTCCAGATGTTTTTGAAAAAATGAAGCGGCGCTCCATAACAACTTTGCTTTAATAGATTATATTCTTTCACCCAACAAAACTGGTAAAAATAAATATTATATTATAATTTAACTTAAAAGGTATATGTTTAACTATATATATGGTTAAAAGAATATATTGATGACATTAGCAAATATATTTTATTAGGTTGCATCATATACCTTAATGAAATTGCTAACCCACTTAATGATATAAATATTAGGCAAAATATTTCTATTGATTCTTCTGATGATACTATAATTTCTGTACATTATATTATTATTATTTAAATTTATTATTGAATAATAGCTAGATCAAGATAATGACAACAAAGAAAATGAAAACCCTAAATATATTAATAAAAATAATCCTATTCTTACTTTTAAAAGGTATTATATTATTTCTATTACAATTATATTATATAACTCAAATATGATAATTTATATATATTTTATGGAAAAATTATCTTTCAAAATAAAGTTATTATTGGTTTTCCAACTGTTTATAAAATATTGATACAGTTATTTACAACATTTTACTAAGTATATAAATAAAATAATAGGTTCATACAAAGTTTAATAACTGAAAGGTAATATAATATAATAAATACAATTTAATATTTACATATCTTTTAATAATTAATTAATAACTGAATCATATCAAGCATTTTGAATATTTTTATTTTTTTTAAACTTAAATGTGTCCAAGGTGTTTTGTTATTAATTTGCAAAAATTTTAAAATTTTAAGGATTTTTTCAAAACATTTTGGACGCAGCCTAAAATAAAAATATATTAAAAATAATTAATTATATGGATTTTTTTAGCCAGAAAAATATAGGCCCATATTTTATAAAATAATAAATTCCCAAGCCAAAATTCAATATCACCCCCCCTCCTAATATTTTTCTTCCTTTTTTATTGTATAATTATTTTTAGTTGGCGTCAACTTCCCTTTATTTTTTTATAAATAATAAAAGAAATATAATAAAATATCTATATTTTTTTTATTTTTATAGTTAGACCTCACATTACATTTCAATTAAATTTAATTATTTTTATAAATTTTCTGAAAAATAAATTATTATATAATGAGTGATATGGAAGATGCAAGCCTGTTTAGATTAGATCTGGTATCCTTACAATTACAGTCAAAACAATATTCAGAACTTCGTTTAACCATTCCTCTACATAGTTTAGATATGAAGGGGAGTTTTGGATTCCCACCAAGATACATAAAAATGTATTCATTGTTAAAAAAAGTCATAAAAATTTCATTAAAATTATTTTATTTATTTTAAGACAATATATATAATTATTCACAAATATTAGTAACTGATTCAATTCAAAATCTTATATAAATAAAAATGAATATCAAAACTCAAAAGATAACGTTGTTTAACAAATTTTTATTAAGTTTCATGATTAAAATTTCGTCTAAAGTACATTTGTTCAACTTATTTCATATGGTTACTTAATCGTTGTGCATTGATGGATCTTTCCATCGATACCTGCGAGCAAAGATCAGCTAGAACTACTAGAGGGTATATAATACATTTGGATAATTGTAAAAATATTTTGATGGGAAAACAATTTTTGGCTATATATTAAGCTATTAATTTTTGTTGTAATATCCATTAGCGAATTAGAGTTAAATGACAAATAAATACATTTTGGCTCAATATTAAAGTCGAGACAACTATTGGGATAACTAGAGCCAACTCCTGAGGTGACTAATGTCAACTCCTGAGCCAACCCATCAAAAAGGTATGAGCCTTGGCGAATTTTTACAACTTTAGGGCAGATCCCAAAAATTATTAATTAAATAAACATAAATTACCCTCATTTTTTGATGATATATGAATTATATAATCTAAAAATCGATAAATTCCTATAATAAATTTTTCCTGGTCTAAGAAGATAATTATTTCGAATGCGATATTAATTATTTAATTAATATGGTATAATATTATTCGTCTTCTAATTTTTAATTTCCAGATTATAAAAATTTTTTTAAAAAAGCAATCCAATATTATTAAACATGATTATTTCTATGCTAATGTTGAAATATTCTTCCTCTATGCATAAAAATAGGATTGACCAAAATATTCACAATAAAATAATATAAGTTGGTGCTCAGGTCTATGGATTTGGTTGACCCATTTGGTTGGGTTGGTTCATTTTCTAGACCGAAAACCTAATCAAAAACCATGCTAATTCGACCCATCGAAGCAATTTAACCACACTATATTATACTGTATTTTTTAAAAATTTTATGATTTAGGTCGAGTTTTTAATTCAGATCAACCACCAAAGTTCTTCATTTATATTTATTATTTTTTTGTCGTTGAATTTTATGCATTCAAGATTGATAATTAATCGATATTGAATAAATCAAGGTATGTTAATTTATATTCTCTAATATTATAATTTACTTTATGAAGAACATGTCAAAAATACTTATTTTCTCCTATGAAGATGATTTAACTCTGCCTTAGCCCTATATGGAACATTTTTTATTCAAATAAGGAATATAAAGGGTACCAAGTCTACACTTTGTAAGTGTAGAATGTGCTTTAATTCAAACATTTCAACCTCGATATCCTTCAACTCAAATCTAAAAAAAATCATATGAAAGTAAAAATATGAATTAGGATTAAATCTTAATATAGATAAAAATATTGATGTGAAGATTACTGTGAACATAATCTAATAAGATTTTTTTAAAATAGATTATTTTTTATATATTTGTAATAAATTCCCCCAATTAAAATTATTATTTATTAAATATAATAAAATCTCCCATCCTTTGTTCCAGTTGAAGGTGTTTAGCGCAGGGAAATGTTGAACACTAGGCCCTATATGATCAAAATTTTGAAAATCAATTATTAAAAATAAATAAAAGTTATTACAAAAATAACTTATCTTAAAATGTATTATTTTTATTATCTCTGAGAAATAAATATAAAGTAAATTTATATATATATATTGAATTTTAAAGTAACTTGTTTCTTTTTATGAATAACGAAAACGCCTTCCCTTTTTAACAAAGTAACGAGTTCTTTTTCAAAAGTAATAAGTAAGGCTTAAAAAGATTATTTCATAGTACAAAATTTTATTTAATTAAATTTTTGTCATCACAAAAGGAAGATCTATATAAAAACCAATTTGTACATATATAATTTATCCAGAAATTATTAATCTTGGAATATATAATATAGTATAATTCTCAACAGGGCAATTTAATATATAGGACAAAAAAAATTTTAAGTTATAAAATTTATATATTTTTTTTAAATTTTATTTTTTAATATACTTTTTTTAAAGGATAATGATTTCAAGACTATTATAAGAGATGACAAGGAAATACAAAAAAATATATTGGCAAATATAATATTAATGGATATAACAAAAACGGATAAACTGTAAATACAATATTAATCAATAGAAATAAGCTTCCTTATCGTGAAAAAAATATAAGAATTTCCATTGCTTCATGAAGAACTTTATAAAAAATATAAATTCATGAAAAAATAAAATTATTTTAAAAAAAATTTATATCTTCAAACTTTTAAGTGTTATACAGAAATCTCAGGGAAAATTATTAATTATATGTTATATATATTTTTTTAAATAACAGTGGTTGTTGGGTTATGTGTAAAAATGAAAGTTATAATTCTATAACAAAATTTAAATATATATATAAATATTATATTAGAAGTATATAAAAAAATTCGGAATATTTTAGCGCATGTATAAAAATAATAAAGGCGATAAATTTCTCATAAAAAAAGTCAATAAAATAATGATAAAATAGTAATGTATTTCTTTTCTTCACTGTTTACATTATATATTTTTTTTTATATCAATATATATGGACAAATAAAAAATATATATGGTATTTAAAAATCTTTAACGCTTAGACTCCTTTTCACTCCGATCCCTATTACCAATTTCTTGGGATTAATAGCCAATGTGGGTAAAACGATGCCCTTTGTTCTATCGTAACTCTCCAAGCTCTGACAATGTCTTTTATAGGACATGTTCTCAGATTCTGCCGCTTCTAATTTCCTAATTAAATAATATTTTTGTTTTTGAAAATATGAACATGTATATTGAAAATAAAATGGTAAAATATAAGAGGTAGAGGAGTGCAAATCAATTTCATTATTATTATTTAGAAAAAGTTGATCATCATCGAATTTTTAAAATCAATGTTTTGATGAAGCAATAGAAGAAGAAAGAGAAAAGGGTATAAAAAGGAAAGAAGCGAGTGACACATTTTTTAAGAAATACTTTATTAATATTTGGTTCTTGAATCTTTCGGCGTTGAGTTCCTTTTTCAGTTCGACCTTGGTTTTGTTGGATAGGGGGCAAAGGGTGGGATGTCTGATGAGCAAATTAGCCGATGGCCTATCTTTGGCCAGTGGACGTAACATGTCCTATTTTATATTTAAAATATGTAAAAAACAATTTTATCGATGGTTTCATAGAAAAAATAATTAATGAGAAATTTTAAACTCATCAAACATATATTTAGAAATCGTAGTTACTTGTGTACATATTTTTTTTCTTCTAAAAATGTTAGAACGACGTGAAAGTTTTTAAAGGATGAATAGAATATAATCATAATATAATACATTTAAAAAATCGGTGATCAATAAAGATCTGTCAATTAATGTCACTTAATTCTTGATTGTGGTAATAGTGGAAAAAACGATAATAACTCCTTATTTATAATTTTATACCCAACTCACATTTCTATATTTTTGATATTTTATATATTTATTAAGTTCCTAACGCCAAACACGGCCTAAACTGCACCCGCAACCAAGGTCGCCATCTCCAACATAAAGCTATTAATAAAATCATCCATAATGCTTTTAATAAGGCTAAAATACCCAACATCCTTGAACCTACCAATCTCTTGTTACAGGACGGCCTCAGACCCAATGGTTTAACCTGCACCCCCTGGTCCAATGGGAAATCCCATATTTGGGACACAACCTGTGTCTCCTCTTCCCTTCATCAATTAATTCAAACCCTCTTACTTGTGGGGAAAATATAAAAATTAATAATTATTCAAAATTAAATAACTTTATATTTCAGCCAATAGTCATATTAACTAACGGCAATTTTTCACAGTGTACATATTTTTTTTAAAAAACTTTATCACAAATTTTTTTTAACATAACACGAAAATCGCGAATCCTTATTTCTTAAACAAAAGCTTCAACGAGAAATTTTTAAACACAAATATACTTGTTTTTAGGTACATATTCATTATAAGCTCTTTTTAGAGCCTTCGATACTTATAATATATAGATTTATTTTTATTTAGTAATTTTACATATTTTTATATACTTGTTTTAATTTATCATTTTTTTAAATAAATAAAAAGTATCAATAAATTATTTATATAAAAATTTTGAAGATTTAATAAGAAATAAAAAATTTATGAACATTTTTATGAGTGTTGAAAATAAAGCAAAATTGAAATAATTATTTTTTATTTAATTAATATTTAAATGTTTTATTAGTAAACGTGCTTGCAAATAATAATATATTTTAAGTTAATATGCGCGTTTTTTTTCTCTAAAAAATATATTATTTTTTAAATTTTCCATATTCGCATAAATTACAAAGCTACCAAAATAAACAAATTGATATCTAATATATATCTTCATGTATATTCTTTTTATTACGACATAGAAATAGGTAAATGCATTAATATAATATTTAATAGGCAAAGATATTATGTTATGTTTATCATTCTAAAAAAACAAACTTGAATAAGTATATTGAGCTCCTTTGAATAAGGGGTTAAGAATGGTATCTCACCATTCCTCAATCTCTGCCATTCATCCCCGTTGGGTGGTAAGGGGGTGTTGCTAGCCTACAAAGAAATGAGAAAAATATTAGTAAATATTAATACATCTACCATATTTATGGTGACAAGAGTCAAATAATGGGGGTGGGGCATCCCAAAATCAAAGAGATACCGTCAAAATTTATAGATGAATAGTTATCATATTATTTTAATGTTTATTCTTTCTCTAATTTTCATTTATTTTAATTCCTGCCTCCTTTCATTTATAGACTTACAGCTTCATAAAGCGATATTCCAAGGGAAAATATATCCGCTTTGGTTATGTCCGAATAATCCTCTTGCAAAATTTCGATGGGCAGATACCTACAATCTCCTTCTTCCACTTCTGGTTCTGTAAGAGATGTCACCAGGCCTAAATCACCTATCATAAAAAATAATAATCATCAATATTTGATAATTCCATGACAAATCACCCATTATTTTGGATGACCATTTTTAAAATGGATTAGTATGTAGGTTAAATAGATTGTATATTTTGTATAAATTAAAATTTTATAATTCTAGCTCAAATAGAACCGGAATTATGGGGATTCAAAGTGCAAAAAAGAGCCATTTGGTTTTAATAATCTCAAATTATGATAAATATTTTGTCAAAAGCCACAAATTATATATCATTCATGACTTTAGACTAAAAATATTTTGAGATTTATATAAAATATACACACTATATAACCGAAATTTCATTATTTTAAAAAGAGTCATCAGCAAATTTGTTAATTAAAATTGTCAAAAAAATATTACACAAGCCTCTAAGATTTTGTTAATAGATGTCCAAACCTTTCTACCATTTATGAGCAAAATCTCTGGGCTTACTTTAAATTTTTTGGCTAAAATATTGGGTTAGCCCAATTTAAAAAACGAGCCATTTAATAACACTATTCAGTCGATATGTTATGGAATTACCCTATTATAGAAAAATACTAATAGTTTACAAATAAGAGACATCGAAAAAGCAAATAAGTTAGATTACCACCTTATACACCTAAAAATTGAAAACTTAATATTGATACCCTGTATAAAAATTTAGGGATAGATAGTGTCACTGATAAAAATTTATTGTAAAAGAACCCAATATTATATTATATACTAAAAAACCCCCGTATAGTGAATATTTATAATAGTAAACAAAAAATTTGTTCTCAAATGAGATTTCATTTTATATATTGATTATTTTATAGGAAAATATATATTCTTCTTACCAATCTTGTAAACTACCGCATCATGTTTTTCATCGTCACTTTCAAAACCTTCATCAGAGTTGTTGTAGAAAGTGGATGGGGTACACTTGGTAACGAAAATATTGCCTTAATATACAATGGATATTTTAAAATTGAATATTTATTAAACACAATATAGCAATAAGAAACCAAATGAAATAAAAAAAATTATATCTAAGGATTAATGAATGATTGATTATCCAACTTACAGTATGATGATAAATTTTACTTAAAAATAATATACCATATTTAGATCTTAATGGGAAAATAAATTATATTTCTACTAGAACAAAATATGGGGTGGAAAATGTAGTGATGAATGATATGTGTTATTTAATAAATAACACCATTTTACCAAAAAAAATGGTGAAAAATCAAATTTTTGGATTAGCAATGTGAATGTTCATTGTATATTCCAAAAGAAATGTTATAAAGCTTCCCTTTAAATGTGGCCAATATAGTTAAGTGAGTGCTAAAAATGGGCTCAAACTTTAGACACGAGCAAATTAAAATCCAATAGAAATTAGATGCAAATTAATTTTATATTTCTTTGAAGTTAAGCTTATATTTATTAAAAATTCTGAAGCTGAGGTGATATTTCTTGGCTAAAAAACTAAGGTTAGCCATTTATTTTGGTGAATAAAAAAGGACAAAAACTATTAGAAATAGAACAATTACCCAAATAGTGACTTCCCTAACCTGACTCCTTCACTCACATTGTGGAGATTCAACAAAAATAATAAATATCAATTTTAAAAAAAGAATTTTGCAATGTTTGCAAATTTATAAATTTCAAGGAAATGATTCATAATTTTTTTTTGTAAAATAGCTATGACTCATAATTTTTGTAAAATCACATTACAATATAAGTATGAAAAAATTAGAAAATGTTTATGAGATAAAGAATAAAAGTAACAAAGAATGAAGGAAAAAACAAAGAAAGGAAAAGAATAAAGAAGGAAAAAAATATAACAAGTGTTTCAGAAAATGGTTACCATTTTTTTTACAAAATTAACTTCTATAATTACTAATATAAGTATGCAATTCTAGAAAATATAAAAAATAAAAATTAGAACACTTATAAAATTAGAAATGTTATACAATCAATTATTTAAAAAATAGAATCTATTACAGGAAAATTTTTGTAATTTGAAAAACATCATATTTTGTTCAATAAAAAAAAATTTTTAAAAGGAAAAATATAAGTTTACTTGGTTTTATATCTAGGTGGGCAAGTTTGAGTGCATGAAAGTATTTTAGACCTTTCCCCACATGTATTAGGATAACTTTGAGATCCTCTTCGGGTATTTGAGTATTAAGGGATATGTTTTTCTTGTTGATATCTGCCAATGTTCCACCTAATGATGATATAACGATGTTTAAAGCTATCAATTTTGTTTATTTATTACCATTACAATATTCATTTTGAATAAATACTATGCCCTCTTCTGCCCAGGCTGAAAAGTACCTAACTATGTGAGGATGATTACCCAGGATGGCATGAGCACAAACTTCCTTTATTGCAGTATATCTAAGATAAAGATTATAAAAATGGTATTTACAAAAACCTAAATTTAGTGAATTTTAAAATTAGCCTTTGCTTAATAATAATTTTTTAAATTTAAAAAAATAAATGGAATAATCAATGTAATATTAATATATAATTACTCATTGATGGGGTTAGAAAGTGGTGTTTTAGACTTTTTAATGGCATAGTGACAGCCATCTAATCTATTGATACATTTATAAACATGGCCAAAATGCCCTGAGCCTAAACATGTTAGTTCAACAAATTCTTCTAAATATCTAGCTGCTTGGCTCTCTCTCATCCATACAATCTTTAACAGAAAGTGTTTTAAAAAGGCATTCTCAAATTATAAAAAAATATACTTGTTTATGAAGTGATTCTTTTGATAAGGAATTTTCCAATAAACTAAAAAAATGGAGGATATAATGTCAAATATAAATTTAATCTAACTTATTAGGGGACTCAGGTAAAAATCTCTTTTTGTCAGTTTGTGGTGTACTCTGTGTTAACCCATTCTGAATAGGGTTTTTTTCTATAGATGAATAGTGGTATTTCCGTTTTAAATTTTTCATTGATTTAAAAGGAGTTTGTGGTTTGTCAAATAGGTGTAAATTATTGAAAGATAATCGAGGGGGTGAAACTAAACATTCATCTTTGTCGGAATTATTGGATGTATTGTCACTAAAACTGATTTCATGTTGTGTTTTATCACAAATGGTTGTAAATAATGAGTTTGATTTTAACGTTGATAAGTTAATATCCTTTGCTGACGAGTGAGGATAAATTGGTGATCGAATCATATTAATATCATCGTTTTCAGAGTTAAGTTGATAAATTGGATGATCAAAATAATGTGGTTCACAATTTTTTATGTGAGGAGAGGAATGCCTAATTAATTTATTTTCATGGGTAAATGATAGGTTGTTTAGATTAAATGATATATCCGTATTGTAAGATTGATACGCAGAATCATTATTAATTTGATATTTGGATTTAGGATAAGGACTATGAGCAGAATTCATTAAGCTGTTTCTGCAATATTTATGTCTATTTTTTTTTGATAATGGAGATGTAGGTTGATTCATCTTATAGTTAGGAATGCAAAGAATCTCGTTTTCTTCCATTGTCATGCTAAGTATCTAATTACAGAATGTTATTTTAAATTGTCTTGAAAATATTATGAAAAATTTTTAAATTTCATGGAAAAATGTCACGTGAGAAATTTACTATAATACGCACTATAATTTATAATTAGTACTATTTGTAAAAATATTTGATAAAATGAGATATTAACTTGAACACTAAAATTTAATTAAATTAATTCTAATTAATTATATGCCCTTAAAATTTTATTTTTAAATATAATTTTATAGTTTTTTTTAAAAAATAAGTATAAATTTTATTAGAAAATATATCGAGTACTATTATATGCAAATAAATATTAATGAATTTATAATTTTAAAAAATATAGCGGAAAACGGAAAAGAAAATAAGAAGAGTAAATATATGAAAGTTCCATAAAAAATTGACTTTTGTTGAGGTTAATATAGTTTGCTTTGAATATAGCCATGGGCAGCCTCTAATGGGAAGGTAGAAATCTTCTTAAATTGCAATATTCACTAAGACCTGGAAACTTCATTCATGCTATCTGATTCTGCTATCAGTATCGTTAGCACATCATCTATTAAAGCATTACTGTCTGCAGCATAAAAATTCAGACACAACTATATAGAAACACTAAGAACTACACAACCATACTTTAACAAGCTTCATTCCCTTTAACACTACATATAATTTATTTCACTGTATATTATTTTTAGTTGTCCTTTAATTCCATATTCCCTTTCCTTCGCCGCAGTCATATAGTAGAAACGAGGTTTCCAGCTCTTGGTGATCATTGTTATCGTTGAAGAGCAGGGCCCTGTGTGCTCTGTGCTCACGATCTGATCCATAGACTAGAATGCTTATCTAGATTCTCCTCGGTGGAAATATATTGAATATTTTTTGAGAATCCTAGCTTGATCAAGTCTTAGTATTGACTATTTAATGTGGGGGATCTTGATCTTCCTTTCATGCAAACGTTGTAGACTTTTATATAATCCGATAAGATCGCAGTTAATCCCCTCTCTAGTCGGAATAATGCGCTGATTTATCTTACTTTAATATATTAAAAGGTGAGGTCAGGAACCTGGAAAAAAAATTCGAAACCAGTATCGGATTCGAATTGAAAAAAAATGGAAGCCGATCTATTTTAAAAACCATCAAAGTAGAGATGTGTAACAGTAAGTACGGGCCTATTTTTTAAAAAAAATCAGGTTCGGGCTGAGTCATGCCTAATATTTAAAAAAAAAACTGGGCCAGGCCTTAGAAATTTTTTTAAATATATCTATGTTTAATTTTTTATTTAAATTTAAAATATTCGATTTTATTCATAGAAACTAGACGCCATATAACATATATCTTTTATTTTGAGTAATTATAAAAATTAATTTCTATATTTAAATAAATTCGGTCCGGGTAAGCTAAACTTTTTTAAAAAAATTAGGTCCGATGCAGATCACTAATGTAAAGTTTATATTATAAAAATGTTAACGAGTACGACATAACATGCTCATTATATTGTGATTTCTAAAAATTAGCATAAAAGATTTATATTTCTAATTAAAATAAACGTTGCATGTTTAAAATATTTTTATTTTATAAAGCAGTTTTATTATCATTTACATGATATAATATATTTTTTAATTTTAGGCTAAAAGTTTTAAAAATTTTATTCGTTTTAATTCTTAAATATTAAAAGAGGGATAGTAATCAATATTTATAAAGAGTTAAAGATTACTAAGCTTATAAATATGTTCTCTTAAAATTTTTATTATAAATTCACTTTTATACAACACGATAAATTATATATCTGTGTAGTTAAAGGAACAATAAACAAACAACTCATAATTTTAAATCTTTATTTTGTAACATATATTTAAAATTATGTATATACATATAATATGAATATCTATAATTAGTCATCAGGAAAATCGTCCAACCCCATTTCTATTCTTATTTTGCGAGTAAACTCAGGAGCATCTGGATTATTTTCCGGATTCCTACATTTCTCTAATTTTGATTCTATAATTTTTATATTGGGATTTTTGTCGATTGCATAAAATTTTTCGCTATTTGAGAACACAGATGATGAAGCTAACTCTTGGATCTCTTAATAATTTTTTTAAATTGTAATTTAAATATATTATTTGGTTACAATAATTTAAGGGAGTTGAAAACAAGAAAAAATATTAATAACTGATGTTGAAAATATGAATTATAACATTGAGGTCTTGAGTCGAATAAGGGGAACAACAATTATTTTAGTTTTAAAAACAAAATCCTTACTGGACCCGTGGAAATATAAATAACATACTGTCCGTTATAAAAATTTAAAAATAAAGTGGATGAACCAATAATACGAGTTAAAAATAAGCTTAATCAAATTTTTGATACAGTTAATAAAAAAAATGTATATTAACTTTTAATCGAATTTTGCAAGATCGATTTATCTTCTAGTGTGCTATTTTCGTACAACAATTCCACGTAGCTTATAAAATACGAATAAAAATAATATTTAGAGTTAATTAAATAAGCTATATCCTCTAGTCTTATATATAAATAAAATTTTGTATTTTGTTAACATGGGAATATTTTTATAAACGGCGAATTTATCAAAACTACTGAAATTTGTATTTAGTTATTAATAAACCATAAGAGAAAAATTTATATAAATAGGCAAAATGAATGGGAAAGAGGGAGGGGGGCAGCAGGCGACGATCATTATTTTCATGGGCTGATATGAGATAGGATTAGTTTATAATAGATATAAGGTTAGATTAATATAGGATTCATCATTTTTATAATTAGTCACGTGCCCCTTTGAAGGCCGGGGTAAAGCGATTGACCAGGTAACAATGTTAACGTAAATAACATTTTAACTCTTGAGTAAAGACCTTAAATTTGGAGTGATATGTATTTTTATATATAACCTGGGTTCATATTTTTAAAATCTTCTAGGTTAAACATATTTTGCCAACAAAACCGTTTTTTATTCGAAAATTATAAGAATCATCCTTAATCAAAATTCATTATCTATTTAAAAATGTGTATAAATGTTCCTGAAAATCATAGCTAGGAAGCTAACTAGAAGTCACGCAATTTGTATAAATATATCGCATTGGGGTAAAGATGTTATGGGTAAAACGGTCAAATTGTTCCGCCTAATTTAAGCTGCAAAAAAATAATTTTGAAATAAAAAAAATATATTTTGAGCAATGAAATATAATTTTTACATATAGTCGCATATGTGAAGAATACTTGAAACGATGTAACCACAATGGGCGTACTCGAAATGTGCTATTTTTATGATTTCATAGCAATCCCTTCCCGTACTGTATTGATTAGTTAATATTTAAAAATATAACTAGATTTCAAAATTGCTAAAATTTTGCTTAATAAAACAATATAGCTCTTAAAGTTTTATAGGTAAAGAGCTACCATTTTAGGTGGGAGATACGATTACATATAAATCTATATTTTTTTCTATTTGTTTTTGTTTTAAATTTTTATCGTAAAAATGCAATATACCAATCGTTTTACCCCGATTTCCCTTACTGGATTAATTTTTCCATGATATGTTTAATATTCTTTAAAGGGCATAATGACGAGAATAAGAAAAAATGTTAAAATATTATATTAAAATTAACTTGGTCAAATCTTCTCCAATCTTCTGACTGCTAACTACTAAGGATGTCAAGGCTATCTATTGCAAAGATTTAAATTAAAAAATTATTAAAAAATGAACGCATTCAATACCGCATTTATCAAAAAGAATATTGTCAATAAATTTGTGGTGCGATTATGCTACATCCCCAATTTTTACAGCGAATTCATTTTTTAGTTTAAATGCTAACCTTTATTTTGCTTTATTTCTTAATTATTATATCCACTAATTACTTCGTTGTTAGTGGCCTCTTAGGAAACTTATAAAACTAACTTGTACAATGGGTATTTTTAAAAACAAAATTATATAGACGAAAATTTGTTTTGGTAAGGTTAAAATAAATAGGAATCGAAAGTAATATTTAAAATAAAATTGATTCAATTAAAAAATTTTTTTTAAAAAAGGAGCATTATTGAGAATGAAGTCCTTGGCGCCCAAAGATTAAATGTCAGAAAACTATGAACAAATTATATTTTCTTAACAATAAACTATTATAAGAAATGCTTAAAAAGAGAACCGAAGAGTTGTCAATACATTCGAACAATTATAAATCTGTTCGATCATATCCACTGCCTCAAATAAATCGATTTATTAATAATAGAAGAAGTTTGATATTTAAATAAAGTGGAATTTATTTTTTTTAATTAATACAAAAAAAAATTAAATCGTCACCATTTAATCTTTAATTAACGATTTTAATTATTAAAAAAATACACAGTTTATGAACAACAAATATTAATTCATTTTATTTTCAATTTAATTTTTGTTAATAAATATTTCCCCTCTTTATAACTCTTGATAAGTCATATCAAAATTTTATTTGACCATCAATTCCGTTTCTAAATGTTGTATCATCAATTTAAAAATTCTAAAGCCGTTAAAAAAATTCGTACGAACAGAAATAAATTTCTAAATCGCAAAGAACCAACATAACATAAATTTGTTTAAAACAGGAATGGAGCTAAACCTTTTTAAAATAAGAACAGGAAGGAAACTGAACCATTATATTTAACTAATAAGACACCCCTGACAAAGATTATCACGCGTTAAGAGAAATTGAATATTTAAATTTATGTTTGTAATTATACAATAATATTTATTTTCTTTAATTAGCGTCTCTTTATACTTGTGAAGGGGTGAATAAAAAGCATGCATTCGTAAAGAGAAGTGCGTCTAAAAACATGCCAGATCCTATCCTCAGTTTATCCGGGTCTTTCAACAATGGATAACGAGTCTTATAAATATATACGTGATGAATAAATAGATCATGATAAAAGAATAAAATGTTACTTTGATATCGATGAAAAAACCCTCCAAAGGTCGGTACGGTGTGTGAACGATCATTTGAAATTTGAGTCGTTCTATTATTTTCATCTCGTGGCTTATTATAACCTTTTTGAGAGAATTAAAAAAAATCTCGGGTTATAATTATCATATCAATAAATTTCCATTTTAAACAAGGTTTCACATACTCTTCAAAATCAAAAAATTGGAAATTTCCACGCTTTTAGTTTTCTCAATTTCTATTTTGTGTGTTTTTTTAGAATGTTCACGATCTTAATCATTTTTTTTAAAAAAATTTCCTCATTCAACTATCAAATTACCCAGATTAAGAAGGGTATATTATTTTTTATTACACGAATTTGTATATAAAAATTGTATTTTTTTTAGCATAGTATATATTAGCTTATTTAACTAAGTTAATTATCATTGTTAATGTATTTGAAAAGTAAGAAACTAATTGTAATTTACAGAATATTAAGGATAACAATTAATTTGTATAATTAAGTTATTTTCGATTTCAAGGTTTCCTTAAACTTAATTTATATACAATCTTTATGGTAATTTATTAAGATCGCTGTAATCGCAATGTAAGAATTAAATTTTTACCTTATCAAATTAATTTATCAAATTAATAAGTTTTACAATTTTTAATTATTTTCTCTTCTCAATTTATGGAATTAGAGCTTCAAATTATAGCCCAAGATGATGTTAATGATCTAATAAGGACAATTAATTTATATTAGTTGTTATTTTATATTTCACGTGGTCAAAAATAAAATTTTCGCCTCGAATATTCATTTTAATTAGAAAACTATGATTGACTGGTTGTTTAATTTTTGATGTTTAGGATCTGATTTGGAGTCTTCTCAAAGGAAGATAACCAATAAAACAATTAAATTAGATTCTATTATTCATTTATCAATAGTCTACTTATTTTATATACAACCTGAAAAAAAAATCCAATATCGTTGAATATTTTTTATTTTCCAATTTTCCTGCAATTTTTCAGTTTTACCCCAACTTTTCCTGGAAATCTCCCCTAAATATAGTTCCTGGGATTTTTCTATCCTATATCTCAATACACGGAGACCAGTGTAGAAATAAATCGTTGTGGGGGAAAGAAATTATATTAAAATTTTCATTTTTTTGACAATTTTTTTTAAAATTAATTTTCTTCGTTGGGTTATATATTTTTCTAAATCAAGTTTTTATTACCTCACGTTTTAAATAATAATAAAAAATTTTATAGATTTTTTAAAAATACTTCAGCCAATTTTTTCTTATCACCTTTGATGTTACTGAGAAATTGAGGTAGTGTCAGGTTATATTCGTCAACTTTGCAAGCTAAAAATAGGCAGGTGACCCTTAAAATTTTTTTTAAAGAATTTAAAAAAGAAACGATAAAATAATATAATATTTTTATTTATAAGATAAGGTATTTATTTAAAAGTTAGATAAGATTTATATATAAACATAAAACTTATTTATGATATATAACTTTAAAAATTATTTTTTAGTATATTATTATTTATAATTGTAAAAAAGTATATCATTCAAAAATTGATTAATAAAAAAAAAATAATTAACTTAGGATATTTGACAATTAAAATTTGTTGTAAATTTATTGGAAGGTGTGGAGAAGTGTAGTATTTAAATTTTTTAATGGCCGTTTTTTTATAATAAAATTAAGTTTACTTTTAATATAAAACAACAAAAAAGGGAATTTAATTTAAGGTAAAAAAAGGTGGGTATTTAAAAAAAAATGTTTTATTGTTCTTAATAGAATTTAAAAAGATCAAAGATAAGTTAACAATACCTGTAAAATAAATGTACATAATTCCATTTTTAAAAAACTTATTAGTTAATTAACAACTTAAAGTTTATTTTTTAAAAAATGGCCGTTAAACTTTAAATTTTGAAAAATATGTCAATTTAAAAAAAAATAAATATAAAAACTAAAATTTTATTTTGAATTTATTAAATAAAATGTAATGATTCTCTTCTGTGTTTTAAGATAAACAGATGTTACCAATACATAAAAATGTTTATAAATCATAAAAATGTGTGCGAAATATGCGTTTTTAACAAAAATTGTCATAAAAATATAAAAGTTTTTTTTAGGTGTTAGTTAAAATGTAAAAAAAATTAATAATTAAAATTATGTAATAATTTTATTATTTTTTTTTACTTTTATTTTTTAAAAAAAATCTTACAAAATCTCTTTCGGGTGGAAGTCGATGACAGATGTGACTAGGTAGAACCTTTTGTAGTAAGTGAAAGCCATGTCCTAAAATATTATAATAAATATATAACTTTCATATTGAATGGTAATTTACTTTATTTCATTCAAATTACTATTAATAGTATATATATATATTTCATAGACCTGCAGGCCCAGTCCGGCCCCAAACCGGGGTAACGAACTGGGCCATATTTTATTATTCCAAATATACCCGGGTTTGGCCTAAAAAAAAATTTTTTAAATACCCGGGCTAGTTCGAATATTTTAAATTGCCATTAATAATCTATAAAAATTAAAATCAAATATAATATAATATATTTTAAAAAGGCCGGGCCTGAAAATATTAAACCTGGGCCGAGGCCTAAATGAGTTTTTTAAAAAAATCTGGGCCGGGCCGCGCAAATGATAGCTATCCAGGTCTCTGATATATATATTCCCGGGATCCGGAAACCGCGTGAAATCAGATTTTATGGGGAGAAAAAATATAAAATTCCAAAAGAAATTATATTTTAATATTTATAAAATTATATTTGTGGTTTTAATTCAACCAACCAAAAAAAAAGTATTAAAATAAAACCTGTCCAGTAATTGGACAGATAAAAAGACAAAAGGACAGGACAGAAATACCTCTAATTTTAACAAAATATTTGGTATGCTTAGAAAACGTATTTTGTTGTTCTGGTTAGTTGCTTATTTTCGAAAATAAATATCAGAGGTTTGTAAGCTCGGACCAAAGCCTCGCCTCCCTTTAAAATAGTTGTAAGACAAAAAATTTGGGCCGGACCGATTTAAATTTTAAAAAATAATTATTTCAATTAACCAGTTAGAAAATCGCATAACCAACCATACATTCACGTTTAGAGCGAATTCACAGCGAAATATGGCTTAACAATACTAGCTAAATATGACTCGTTATTCATCGCCGCAAATTCGCTCTAACTGTAAATTCAAGGTAATGGAGCGTTTAATATTCATTTACCGGTTCATATTATTCAATTTCCCATTGAATATACACAAAAATACCGTCAAAATTATTCAAAATAAAAAAAAATTAACAAATTCCCAGGGGTCTGACCGTAAGATGATCCAAAATTAAAATACGGGATGGGCCAAAAATATTTTTTTTATTTTTAAATCCAAACTGGGCCCTAAAACTTTAACTTTTGCGAGCCTCTCATAAATATATAAATTGCCATATTAAATCTAGCATTCCTCAGTTTTTAGGTTTATCAATTTTAAAAGACCTCAAATTACCATTATAACTACAAGTAGATTAACGCATATACCTTCTAATTTTCGATCCGTTGTTATTTTATCTTCCTTAATTTATTCCCATAATAATATAAAAACTTTTTAGAGGTGGGGGAGGGGTGTATATATGGAAAGGGGTGATATATATTCTATTTTGTATTTTTTTTATCTCTAATTCAAAGTATAAACTTGTATAAAAAAAGCTTATCATTGGATTTATAGTTAAATTTAATGGAATAAGGATATAATTTTAAAAGAATTGCTGTAAATACATATAACATTATAGCAGCCAACGTGTGGATATTAGAATTAGATAACTTGAGGAAAATGCTTTTATGGGCCGAGCTAGGCCATAGCTTAAATATGGCAAAACAAATTAAACTTAAAATTAGTCTAATTTATGTTTTTTGCATTCATAAAAAATCATTGGGAGCCGTAAAATTATTTTATGGGCTGGACAAAACTTTTTACTGGCCGAAAAACATCCAAAAATTTCCTTAGGTCGACCAATAATTTAAATGATCCAGCTACCATTAAAGAATTTCAAAAATATCGAAAGACATTCATTATTAACTTAAGATATATTAAAGACCACATAAATCTACAAATTTGCAGATTGATTCCCATCATAATCTGTATTGTTTTTAAAAACTAGCTAACCCAATATTTTAGCCAATATTCAAGCCAGAGATTTTGTTTATAGATGGGAGAAAGGTTTGGACATCTATTAACAAAATCTCGAGGCTAGTGTAATATTATTTTGGCTTTTATCTTAATTTTAAATCAGATAAATCGAACTGTTTAACCTTTTATATAAGGAAAAAAACACCGATATAACATTAAATACATTATACTAAAATAAAAAAATAATTGCGCAAAAAAAATATTATCATGATTTTAATAAATTATTTATTATTCAAACCACAACTGATCTGGGTATTTCGTAAAAGTAAAGTGTGTAAAAGTCCCATAACTTTTTTTCGTAATATAATTGTAATTCTTTCTCCTCCTCTAGGGTCAAAAATACGTCATCCAAGCTTTCAATAAAACCCTAGTGAATATTTTATATATTTTTTTAAAAAAAAGATATAAATATATAGAAGCATATATTTTTTGTTTAAATTTATTATTAAAGATGTTAAAAGTATATAACAAAAATGGACTTATTTGGCCAGTGGCTTATTTGGATGAGAACCATTAAGGCATTTACCCCCCCCCCCTCCCCCACGACTCTTAACATCTTTATTTTAAAATAAATAAGATTTCACAATTAAAATGTGATTTATTTTTGAACTGAACAGCCCCCCCCCCCCCCAAGCAAAATCCTAACAAAGGTTTAGACATTGTTTTTTTGAAAAAAATATTGAGTTAGCTCATTTTTAAAAATCAGCTCAAATGGAGTGATTTTAATAACTACCATGAATTATCTAAGTCTGGTAAATTTTTATCTAAAAATATTGTTTGCCCCTATTCAGAAATAAATTTCATCTCCAGCATAAAATAAAATTCTTGATTATTATTATTACTCTTAAAGTAAAAATGAAACTTTCTAATTTATAAAGTAATTTTCATAAAGGTGTTTTATATTTAATTAAAAAAATATTTATATAAGTGCATCATCACTAATGCTAATACACAATTTAAAATCTAAATTAATTCAAGTAACTCCTTTTTATTTCAAGTCAATTTTTAATCGCTACTAATATAATAATAATACAATTTTCCATGTAAAATTATTCCATAAAAATAAATAACTCCTTTTTTTTAAATCGAATAATTTATTATAAAAACACAACACACCATCCATTACTAAACTTAAGTGTGAGGGGTGATAATATATGATCAATAATATACAAACACATATATATCTTTTGGAAAACATTAATTCTAACCTAAAATTTCTAAAAATATGTTAGCACATAATATTAAATGTATAAATAATAAATTTATTGAAATAAAATTTGGTTAAAAAATGTGATAGTGCCTAAATTATTAAGAACCCAAATTATGAGGTTTTATAAATTTTCATCTTTAAGATCTCTACCCCCCCCCCTTATTTCTTTAATAAGTAAGTTTAACTTGCAAACTAAACTAATTTTTAGTGTTAAAAAAATAGAAATTTCAGCATTCACAATTTATTAAACACCAAGGTTTCAAAATTCTGCATAATGTAAATATTAATAATTACCCCTGTATTAGTTTAACAAAAATATAATTTGATTTTAAAGTTGATTGTTTCTATTTGAAACCTCTAAAAGTTTTTAATTATTATCACTTGAAATTTTTCCGTGAACTTAATTATATAGTTTTGTGAGGATTCGTATTTTAATTTATCAAGTATACTCTCATCTGAAAATACCCAATGTTTTTTCTGAGTACTATTAGAAAACATCAGTTGGTATATTTATATCAATCATTTGGCAGGCGTCAAATAATAAAATGCAAATTTAAATGCTAATAAAAAAATTACTACCCTGCACTGCATTCACAGTTAGCGCGAATCGCCAAGTATACAATTCGCAAATTTGTGTATATTTTATATATTCGCTGCTAATTCCCTGCGTAAGACCAAAAAAATGGTTACCAGTCAAATCTATAAACAAAATCTTGGACAAAATTTTCATAGACAAGGACAAGTTTTGAAAAAAATATGTCTTTATTTTTCATCTTTATAATGGATTGTCATGTATTTGGTTTGACAAATATAATTTTTGGTAAAATATAATACATCATATCAACGCAGGATAGCTAAATAATTTCCGGGTGTGATAACTAGAGGCAAACTGGGAGAACAGGCTCCCTGGAAGAAAAATTCGAAGAGTCTAAAAAAAAATCTTTTGAGTTCAATTACTCTTTTTAACACATTAATATAATAATATTGAGCTTTGCAGTATATAATTTACCTTTATTTCTATTTATATATATTTTTTACACACACATAATATAATGTTAAATTCAACATGTAATTACTAATTTAATATAGATTTTCGTTTATATTAGTTTAATATTCCACACTGAAAATAAAAATTTATACAATTAATCAAGTATTTTACTTGATTTTATTTCCTCTACTAATTCAGATTCAACTGCCATCATTAAAGACTCATGCCCTAAATTATTTTGACCAATATTGGTTAGAATTTATTTTTAGTAAACCCAAAGTTCGTTTTCTGACATGTCATCATTACTATAAATAATAAAGTTATTTGCCATAAATTCCCTTAGTTCTTCATTGTTTCTTGCTATCTACTTTTCTTTACTTATCCTCCTCAACCTTTTCATATACATTCTTTGTTAATTTAACAAACCATCTTTGATAGAAATATTTTGCATCCTTTTATGATGTTGATTTTTTTTATTCGTTAAAACTGGTTTGATTGGTATATGTAGCATATATATATCCATTTATATAAATTATGATCATCTATATCTGATAGCAACATTATAATAATACAATAGAACATCTAATATAAACAAACATTCTCACCCCATTCCATAATCCCCAACAATATTCTCAAACTTTCCTCCCTCAACCATACGATGTGGATTGATTATTCTTGTCTGTCTTTCCCCGTGTTCGGTAGTTAATCACTATATCTCTCCCCAATCTACTTTATCCAATCCAAAACATCCTCCTGTAGTCTCAAACCTTGTGGATGGTCTCAATGGCGTTAAACTTTGAACGGTCCTCAAGGATCCTCTTATCACTTAGACGGCATCCCAGTCGCCATAACTAATTCTGCACTCACCATTGTTTTCAATCATACATACGCGGATAGTTCACAAGGCGTTAAACGTTGAACTGTCCTTAATAAATCAATTTACGCTTTCACTACCAGGAGGTCACTGAAATATCCCCTCTCATTTTCCTCTTAATCCCACTACTCCTCCTTATTATCATTAACTGAGTAGTCATCATCTTGTCCCTGTTGATGGGTCTTATATCGATGACTATCCCCATATAATTTGAATCATCTGGGCAACTACTTTCGAATATATTCAATGGACAACATTTATTCCAATTATCTTCTGAATAGAAGGTGGCATAGCCCGACTCTTCCGCATATTCAACCTCTATGAAGATTAAGGCTGATAGCCCAGAGTCGCATCGTAATCTTATAATTACATATAATTACATATAATTGTTATAAATGAGATATGTTATATATATTATTAATGTTATAAATGTCATATACAAATTAATCACATAGTTTTATAATAATTGTCATGTGATAGAATCAATGATATATATATATCATTGGATAGAATACTTGATTTACATATACATATTAAATAAAGAAATTGTATATTGGCGACGTTCTTATTATGAATAAAGAAGATAAACCAATTACTAATGGTGAATACGAATAATATTATACAAAAGAAATTTGAAAATTATGATAAACAAAACAACTTTCAAGATTATATTGAATATATAGATGATGTGTTGGAGGTAAGAGGTTAATAAATAATGAAACCAAGAAAAAAATATTATTTGCTTATATGGGGATTAGTAATTTGGTAGAAATGAGGTCTTTTGTATATCTAAAAATTTTGAAAGAAATTAATTATGAGGAGATAATTGAAGTGGGTTAAAAGGTATTTAAGCCTATTTCAATGTTATTCAGCTCGAGAATTAAGTTTATTCGGATAGAAAGAGGGGATGGTGAAGCAGTTGCTGAGTTTGCAGACCTATATAAAAAATTGGCACAAGAGTGTAAATTTGAATCTGACCTGGATGGAAGATTGAGGGATCAGATGGTGGCTGGAATCAAAATGAATGCATTGGATAAAGATATTCGCACCAGATTTCAAGATGTGACATGGGAGAAAGGGTGAGTTTTCAACAGGTTTTAAATATGGCTTTGGCAATGGAAAGGGCTGAAGATGAAGTGACAAATATGATGGTAAAAAAAGTCAATAAACCTAAGGAGCAGATAAGAATAATCAAGGAAATTTTTCTAATCAAAAGTACCCCTATAATAATAATAATAAAGAAAAAGGAAATTTTAGTTATTACAATAATAATAATTTTAAGTTCAGAGATAACAGTAAATTTAACAATAATGATATGTGTAAGTACAATTAATGCTCAAAATGTGGAAGAACTCACCCCCCTTTTCAATATTTTGCATCAAGGGTGATATGTTATAATTGCCAAAAGGTAGGGCATTATGCTAAATATTGTAAGGGACGGAAATTACATGCTATGCATCAAGATGACAATGACTCATCAGATTTAATTAATAATATTTCCCAAATTGGTAGAAATAGTGCGAAGATATCTGTTAGATTAAATGGAGTACCTATAGAATTTGATTATGATACGGGTGCACAGTTATCGGTGATTGGGAAACAATATTGGGATGAAATTGGCCGACCCAAGCTTGGACCAACCAAACCTTTGTCAGTAATTTTAAAAAACGATAATGAATTTTATTTGTAATTCTTTTGGTATACATACCTTTATATAATAATCCAATTTAACTTCTAATAATATGCAATTTGATTAACCTCGATAATATAATATTACATGTCGGAAAGTTATAATATAATATACAAATAACGTCCTTTTAAAATATATAACGTGACCTTTTAAAATATATCTTACAATAATAAATATTCAAATGTAACATATCAATGACATTAATACTATAGACTGCCGATTGTAATGCTAAAATCAAATTTGAAGTGGCAAAAATTGAAGTGGTGGCCATTTTGTGTTTGTATCTTTTACGAAAGAAGCATATGATAATTTCATAAATTCAGGTATATTTTTATTATGTTTATATTTATAATATATATTTATATTCTAATTAAACACCAATTTATTGTTTACCTTATATATTATAGTATATATGAATCAAATAAAGATCACTACTGAATATTTTACTTGAAATATTTCTGCTCTTTATTAACATTTGCAATTTATTATTATAATGAATATCTTTTATAAGAATTCAATTTAATATTTTTTAATTACTAAAAGATTTAAAATGGTAGTATATTGCTGAGGAAGCAAAATTTCCTTTCATAAGTATGATATCTCAAATTAATTATTCTATTGTAAAAATTATTTATGGCAGATTTCCTATGAAAAATAAAATATTATTACAAAAGGGGACCCATGCTGTGAAGAGAGAACTTCAATGTAACAAAATATAGTAAATTATGTTCAAAGCATTTTACACCAGATTCATTTATTCCATCTTACAAATCATGTTCAATTAAGAGAGGGAGAAATACCATCAATTTTTAATTTTCCAAAGCATCTTCTAAAAGTAACAAAATAATGAATAATAAATTATAACATGCAGGTTTCCTAGAAGCCAGATTAATTCAAAAATACATGAATATTTTTTTTTATAGAAATCAATTCTAGATTTCTTTTGTATTTTTATAATTTATGCCTTATGTCTTTTATGTTTTATTTTTGCTTATAATTATGTTATTTAAATATAAACTATCCATTTCTAAATATATTTCTTTATTTAAATTTAATTCACTAAAGTATAAAAATCAATAATATAAATATATATCATGAAAAATACAAATAATATATATTATGTTATATTTACATCAAATAAAATAATTGTATTATTATAATTAATATGTAACGCGAAAAGAAAATATTAATCTTATAAATCAATAATAAATACAAATAATATATATATGTTATATCTATGTCTAATAAAATTAATTTATTATAACCAATAAAGTCATTAGAAATTTTCAGATAATTTGTTCTTTATTTTTAAATATTTAAGTTAAATAACATATTTTTATATTACTTGGTTTATTGCCCTTGAAAAAGTACAGCCTTGTTTAGTTTTTGCCTGATATATAATTGTAATTTTTGATTTACTATTACCAAAATGATGCATTCTTATGTGCAAGTATCTGAAAATAAATTTTTATTAAAATCAAGTACATATATATACCTTTTTATTATAAGTCTTATTAAAATTTGATAATGACTTAACCATGCCTCTTGATCAAACATATGATCTTGCAGGTCACTAAGGATATTTGTGCCTAATATTTTTGATAATATTAGACATTCTATTTTTTTAACAGCATGTCTTTTGGTTATTTCATCTACTTTTTCAAAAGCCCTGAATAAGCTCTCTGTTATTTTGCATAAATTTGACATGCTTTGGGATGGTATTATTAATCCACCATAATTATTAATTTTTATTAATGTATAATTATTGTCGTTTGCGGAATTATCAATTAGGGAATGTAAACAGATATCACATCTAATTTCTTTTCTTCATATTCAGTAGTGACCTTTATTTGATTCATATATACTATAATATATAAGGTAAATAATAAATTTGTGTTTAATTAGAATATATATATATATTATAAATATAAACATAGTAAAAATATACCTGAAATTTATGAAATTATCATATGGTTCTTTCGTAAAAGATACAAACACAAAATGGCCACCAGTCACTTCAATTTTTGCCACTTCAAATATATTAATCGGCAGTCTATAGTATTAATGTCATTGTAACATATCTTATTTCCCACCAAGTTAAGAACGTCTACCAATCTTTTTATTTACCAAGTTCAAGTTCATCTATTAATCTTTTTGTTGGCTTTAGTTCCCTTGTTGGATAACCCGTTAGCCTTCCTTTTTGACTTGGTTCAATTGTTGTTATTGATTTGATTTCGTCTGGCTCTTCCCTTATTCGTAGTTGGTCGGGATGTTTTAATACGGTTTTGTACGTTTATTTTTTTCCCCTTTTCCAGGATTGTGATCGCGATTCTAGTTTTTCGATCAATTGTTCCCACCATCACTGTTTTATTTTCGCTTGTTATTTTATCATCATTTATCTGTAGATCTATAGCGATTTTTGCGATTCGTTGGTAGAATTATTCTCAATCGTAGTTCACCTGAAGTTTTACGTACCACTACCATTGGAGTACTCCAGGTTACTCTATATAGTTTGTCAATATTCACGTTACCATTATCATTATATTGTTGATCATGTTAATTTCTACATATATTGGTAACGATAAGCCAAATTCCATAATCCCTGGAAATCCAAATAGGCTGTGCCAAATTTTATAATCCACGGAAATCCAAATAGGCTTTATCAATCATTTTGATAGTGCCCTTTATCATTATCATAAATTCTATAATCCATGGAATCGAAATAGGCTGCATCAATCATTTTGATAGTGCCCTCTATCATTATCATAAATTCTATAATCCATGGAAATCTAAATAGGCTGCATCAATCATTTTGATAGCGCCTTTAATATCATAAATTCTATAATCCATGGAAATCTAAATAGGCTACATCTATCCTTTTGATAGTGCCCTTTATCATTATCATAAATTCTATAATTTTGTTTAAGTTTTAACGGTTGGTCTTCGTCTTTAGTATCTGGGTAGTAAACATAGTTCTCCGGCGATTAATTGATCGCGAACCAACCGCTGGATGTACTTGGTGTGACTATGGTAAGGGTTCGTCTTGAAAAGATAAGCAGATCATTACCGATTGTGGTAACCCGTTCAAATGACATACCATTATTTGGACTACCATGGATACTGGAATTTAATATGTTTATCCCATGACAAGTTACTATACGTAGCATCACAAGTAAAGAGGTTATGACAACCGATAAACAAATTGCTGGCATGACGACAGAATTTTTCAGTGTTTTTGATGACAAGCCAGGACGGGTGAATGATATAGAAGTTAGCATACATCTGAGTGAGGCAGCAAGGCCGAAATCATGGCCAGCTCGTAGAGTACCTTTTTCATTACGAAAACCAATTGAAATGGAACTCGATAGATTGGTTAAATCGGGAATATAGAATATACAATTTCTTTATTTAGTGTGTATATTTAAATTAAGTGTTCTATCACATGACAAATATTATAAAACTGTGATTGATTTGTATATGACATTTATAAAATTAATAATATATATAATACATCTCATTTATAATATATCACCACAGCCAGGGATCCAAACCGAACCTGAACCGAACCGTTAAACCGCTAAAAACCTCTATTTTTTATCGAACCTAAACCGAATCTAAACCTCTAAAAAATTTCTAGCCGAACCTGAACCTGAACCGATAAAATGCCTCTGAAACGGTTCGAGTCTCATAATTTTATGCTTATAAAATAATGTATAAGTCTAAGTTATTACTAGTAGTATATTGCAAAAATTTTAATTATATTCCAATTGTTTTAAAAATTATTATCAATCATATTTGATTGATAAACGTCAGTCATGATTTTTATAAACTTTAGTATATTGCCATTTTGCAATATTTTTTAAATATTTTAAGCTTATACAGTGGTGTAGCCAGGATTTTATCATGGGGGGGGACTTCGCCCCCCAAACCTCCTATTTTTTTTGAACACTAATTTGCTTACATTTTGGATTTGTTAAAATTGTTTTATATTTTCATATAACAAAATTTTAGGGTATTTTATTATATATTTTACATTCCTTTATTTAATCATGTATATATTTTTATTAATTAAAATATTTTCAAAATGTTGATATTTTATATAATACAGATTTTAATATTAAAAATTATAATGTATAAAGACTCTATTTAAAAAAAAGTAATTTTTTACAATTATATAAAATATGTGTAATTCTTATGCAAATAATGGTATTTAAAAAAATATGATGATATTATCCTTTTTTTACAAAAAAAAATTATATATTAAAACTAATAAAATTTTATTGCTATTTTTTGATTTGAATTTAGAGAGAGATCTACTTTTCTCTGAGATTTTGCTAATTCATCTAGAATCAAATTTTTATCTAAAATAATCTCCTTATAAATATTCAATAGGGCTAATCCTAAACGTTTTTCACCGGTTGTGTTTCTTAAATAGGTTTTTAACCTTTTTAAAGTTGAAAAGACCTTTCATTAGTGCAGGTACTAATTGGCAAGATAGCTAAAATAATTAATAATGTTTTGATATTAGGCAGGGAATCTAAAATGCAATTACACATGGAAAGGACCTGCAGAGCATTTTTTGGTCTCAAAGAATACCCTATTCTGTCAAAATTTTTATACCAAAATTCGACATCACAAAGTAACTTATCATATGAACCTACTAAATCATCAACATAAAACTCTGAGATTTTTTTAATATCCTCTCGTGTTTCAAGTGTAATCAACAGTTTAGACTCAACCGGCAAAAGAAAATAAAAGCTTTTTAAAATATAAATATGGCTAATAAATATTTCTTTTAATTGAAATAAAAATGTATCAATAAGGGGAATAAAAATGTTTATTTTATAAAAATTCTCAATCGTAGATGCATCAATATTTGATCGATTGGATTGTCTAGAGACTACTCCAGGTTTAAAATTTTCAATTTCAAACATATTAGCAATCTCCTTTACTTTTTCATATATTTCATGAAATTTTTCATCCACATTCTCTCTGATATTTGTTAATATTTCAACAATATCTTTTGTTCTATTCATAAATCATAATCTCCCTTAATACAAATCAATTTTTTGTAGCATTTTGCTAAAATCATATGTATAATTAAATAAAAAATAAACACATTGAATTGAAATTAAAAACTGTGGCTTAATAATAGCCTGCAAAAGATTTTCGGCATCTGCTGAATCTTTTTCCTTGCTTGATATATAAAATTCTAGTGCTGCAAAGACAATATCATACAGTTCAATAAAGAGTTTCACCGACTCTTGTCTTTCGATGAATGGACAAAATCTTTTTAGTTTTTTTTTGATATCATGATATGTTTGAATAAATAACTCCCTTTTTTTGGGTGGTGGGAAACAGCTGCATACAAAAATAAATATAAAAATAATCAAATGTGTATATCTATTATTATTTATAATAAATTTAAAACATAAAAATCAAGCGTTTATTAAGAATTTATTAAATAAAATTAAAAAAATTTTTTTTTTCATTTTTCATGGGGGGGGGGAAAGGGGGGTTAAACCCCCCTTCCCATGCCTACGCCACTGAGCTTATAAATTATAATCCTAGAAAAAAATTAAATCTAATATATAAATTATTTACATATAGTATTATAAATGACACATCAAATCTGATATCATACTGGCAATGCCAGCTACCCAAGTTAGTGTGGAAGGATGTTTTTCAACAATTAAATTTATATTATCTCCTTATAGATGTAATTTGAGTGAGACGAATTTTGAAAATATATTAATTGTGCAGCTTAATAAAAAAAATTTAAGTAATTGTTCATATTTAAATTAATCATTGATATATTTATTTGTTATATTTATAAATTAAATATTATTTTATAATGTGCAATTAATAAAAATGAAGGTTTTTATTTTAATTATGAAATAAAAAATTTTTTTCCTGATACATAATCATAATGTAGGTTTGAATACAAATGTGTTCAAACCGGTTTTTAGAGGTTCGAACCGAACCGATATTTTTATTTTTTGCGAACCGAATCTGAACCTTTATTTTTATCCGAACCTGAACCTGAACCGATATTCGTTTCGGTTTGGATCCCTGCCCCACACATATGATCTTACAACTCCTCAATCAGCCGATTACTAGGTTTCCTAGCTCTTTGAGATTGGCCCAACAAAAAAACGTTTGACATGGGCTACTCCAACAGTAAACGTACGCAAAACAAATGGAGAAATCAGGATTTGTGCGGATTTTAAGGTGACATTAAACCCATATATTTTAGGCTATAGTTACTTGCCACTATGCTGCATTTAAAAAAGTAAAATTTTCATTTTTTAAAGAACGCATGCATTTATAAAAGTAAAATTTTTTATTTTTTAAAGAACGCATGTTTCGATTTCAAGATAAATATTTTTTTTTACTTATTAAATTTTCATTTTTTAGGATCAAATTTTGAAATGATATGGATTTAGACAATTGTAATAGAGCCTATATGGGTATAAATATTTTTTTTTACTTATTAAATTTTCATTTTTTAGGATCAAATTTTGAAATGATATGGTTTTAGACAATTGTAATAGAGCCTATATGGGTATAAATATTTTTTTTTACTTATTAAATTTTCATTTTTTAGGATCAAATTTTGAAATGATATGGTTTTAGACAATTTTAATAGAGCCTATATGGGTATAAATATTTTTTTTTACTTATTAAATTTTCATTTTTTAGGATCAAATTTTGAAATGATATGGTTTTAGACAATTGTAATAGAGCCTATATGGGTATAAATATTTTTTTTTACTTATTAAATTTTCCTTTTATAGGATCAAGACCCTGCTATAATAGAAGACCCTTTAGAAATTTATGTTAAATTTTTATCAATATTTAGTATCACTAAAAATAAAGATAGCAACAGCAAAAGATTTCCATATGGCAACCTAAAAACAACTCAAAACTTAGAAGAATATATTATATTTTTTACTAATTTGTTGAATTTTTCAAAATATTTTATTTAGAATTAACTTAGATCTAGACTCTTCCAAAATTTATGATTAATTTTTAAATCTAAATAAACTAGATAAATTTAGATTCTTTTTAGCAAATATTTATTTACTTTTTCATAATATTTATTTTTTTAAAATGATTACACTATTTAAATTTATTAATATAATAAAAATAGATACAATTATAATTATTTTGAAAATAATTTTTGAAATGATAAGGTTTTAGGTATTTGTATTAGGGCCTCTATGGGTAATTCTTGTAGATTTTGGTTTGTGATATCTTGCTCTAAGAAAAGATCAATATCAGTGTCTATTTCTTTGTTTAAAGCTTTTTTTTTATTAAAAATAGTCAGCTGCATTTTTTTCTTTTTTCTGTTTATTTTTTGTGGCATTTGTAAAGTTTTAATTAATTCTAAAGAATTTGAACAAGAAGGTAAATTTATAATATTTTCCTTGTTTTCCAATATATTTATCCTTTTTTTGGTTTTCAGGTATTCTAAGTTACAAACCTTTTCACATGCTTCTCTTAATTCCTGAAAGCATAACATCATCAGATCAATTGGTAGCTCCTTAATGAAGTTGCCAATATTATTGTGAAAATATTCTTGTCATCTTATATATTTTATTATCTGTAAATTTGCAATCATTTTTAGTATTTTTTGGAAAAATTTCTATATCTAAATCATCTCGTTCCTCTTCATAAATATCATTATTTTCATTTAAATATGGTTGAAGATTATATTCTTTCGACCACCTCAATGCACATAAAGAGTCATCATAGAGACAGATATCGTTGTCCTCTCTATATTTGAAAATATGTTTACAAGGTAAAAGATACCTTTGCTGGAAACCACAATTACATAGTTTCTCACTAACATTGAAGTCTTCATAAGTTATATTATGAGAATATTTTATTTGTAAGTGTACTCTATTAAAAGCTTTTAAAGTTAATAATTTAAAATATAAAAATTGTGGAGATGATGGCAGCAGACTTGTATTATTTAGTCTACTATTGGAAAGGATTATATTCCTATTCTTGTCCTCCAAACAATTTAAATATTCATTCAAATTTTTGTAGAAGATAAATAAAGAAGAATTCCTTTTAATGATCCTTTTTAGGGCCCGATTTGTCCCTTCAATTCTATTGTTTGTAAAGTTTCCAAAATTTAAGGATTTGTTTCTCCACGCTAGGCTAAATTCTTCACGAATTCCATGCCAATTTTTATCATAGTATAAAAATACCCTTTGATGTTTAGAATTTTTTAAAAAATAATAATATTTCCAATATATGCCTGGGGTTTCTGCATACACTAATTTTTTAAATAGGAGTAGCATTTTTTTAACTTCTATAAAAGTTAAATTGTATTTAATTGTTGTAATTTGTCTTTTAAATATTTGTAAAACATGAAAGATACAAATTTCCAATTTTGCATTGGGAAATTCATCTTGATATATTGATCTTTCGTAAAATTTTTATCAGATATGATTGTTAGAGTTTTTAGAAAATTATTATTATATTTTTTAAATATTTGGCACATTTTTTTGATAGTCATGGAGCTTATAAAACTAACCAGATGGCAACTATTCTGGTATTTTCTTCACCATCTATTATGCCCAAAGTAAAGACTGGTAAGTGATAAGAGTTTAGATTATATGTGGCATCAATTAAGACAACTTCAGGATATCTATAATAATGACTTTGCATTTTATTAGTTTGATAATATAATGCTTTGAAGATGTCATTTTCTTCAAATAATTCGACAATATTAGAGACATCTAATTTTATTGTTTTAATGAGGTCTTCCAGATCATTAATGCTACATGGATTTTTCATATATTTATGTTTGAGATTATATAAATCCCTTTTAGTAATAATAAAAAATTTTTTTTTCATCTCTTGATGGATCAAGGTAAGATTTCCATCATATTTAAGAGCTTGATGAATTATAGTTTTTTGATCATCATCCAATTGTCTTTGGCGGGAAGATGCCATGAACAAAGATAGATCTAAATAAAAATTATGTTATCCACATTTAATAATAATAAAACCTCTATCATGATTATGTATATCATATATACGGATACATTTTAGGTATGATCCATCTTGGGTAAACGAGATTCTAGACAAGCAATTTTTTTTCACTGACAATCTTTGTCTTTTCTTTTTAAAAAAATGCTTATATACTTACATTTTAAACAATTATACCTTTTGATTTGGACGATCTGACTTTGCCGTCATAGCATTGGTAATAAAGTCGTTCATATATTATTGAAGACTTAAATATAGGGTCCTTAGATTTTTTAGAACGATATATTGAATAATTTGTATTATTGCTAATTTCGTATTTATTCAGCCATTCTTTTAAAATGATGAATATCTAACATTAACTATAAAACGTATGTAATAAATAATATATATTAATTTGTACCTGCAAGAGTAGTATCATTTTTATAATTTCCAGTAGGGCATAATTCAATTCCAGTAGAATCTAATTCAATTCTAGCAGGGTCAAATATCATATCCATTTGTATAAAAAATAGTATTAATTGTATAAAAAAGTGTAATAAAAAATAGTATTAATTGTATAAAAAAGAGTTTTATAAATAAAATATAATTTTTTTAAAAAATGGATGCGTTCTTTAAAAAATGGAAATTTTATTTTTTAAATTTTTTTAAATGCAACCATGCGTTCTTTAAAAAATGAAAATTTTACTTTTTTAAATGCAGCATAGTGGCAAGTAACAATAGCCTATATTTTATACGATTATCATATTATGCCAACGGTGGATGATCTTTTAACCAAATTAAAAGATGGGTTGAAATTTACGGTTATAGATTAGAAAGATGCACATTTACAATTACCTATAAAAGAGAGTTCAAAAGAATACTTAACCATATCAACCCATATTCGTTATTTCCAATATCAATGTATGCCTTTAGGTCTTTCTAGTGGGCCGGCCATTTTCCAATGATATATGGATAATTTATTACAAGACTGCCAAATGACCGAAGTATATCTTGACGATATTATCATAACGGGGAAAAATGATGTAGAACATTTGAATAACGTAAAAAAAAGTATTAATGAAATTAAAACAGGTGGATATGAAGGCAAAATGGGCCAAAATACGCTTTTTAAATGAATCAGTTTCTTTTCTAGGTTTTGTAGACAAAAATGGAATACACCCAGCGAAAGAAAAAATAGATGCTATTCGAAGGATACCAACTCCTAATAATATACACCAATTACGATCTTTTTTAGGACTTGTGAATTATCACGAGAAATTTTTGCCACATCTGCATGGAATTGCCGCTCCACTGCATAAATTAACAAGCATTAAATGTTCCTGGGGTTGGTCGTACAGGGAACAAGAGGTATTTGATAAAATAAAACAGCTTTTATCAGTAAATAAAACGCCAATTGCATATTCGCCAAACTTGCCAATTATATTGGAATGCGACGCCTCCAACAATGGTTTTGGAGTTGTGTTGTGTCATTTAGTAAAAAAAAAGGTATTAGCAGACCTATTGCATTATCCTCGCGAACATTATTGGAGTCAGAGAAAAATTATGCACCAATAGAAAAAGAGGCACGAGCACTTTTGTTTAGAATGGAAAAATTTCAAACTTTCATTTTCGTCGAAAATTTATATTGCGAATTCACAAACCTTTGGAAAAATTATTTGGTGATAAACGGGCAGCGTCTACATGACAGGATTTTCACTGGATGCAAACCCCCTTCAAAAACCTTTGCCTACCCCCCTAAAAAATCCCCGCCGCCTTCGGCGGCTATGTCTTTTTATCATTATTTTCACCTATTTATTTATTGATACTCTTTTCAAATAATTTATAAAGGATAACTTAAATTAATCTATCTCTACTACCAACTATCGATATTTTGTGAATATAAAGAATTTATTTTTTAGATAATAAATTTAATTAAAACATCCACTATTTACAATGAATTAATTATTATGGCATTATGAGCTTGCTGAAATATCGAAACCTTTTAAATTATATTTAAAAGGATAGTTTATTTGGAAAACAATGTGTATGATTGTTTGCAATATATAGATTTGGTCGATGAATTGTATTATAATAATACTATAATAAAAGTATTGATTTTTAATAAATTTTGTCTTATTTCATCTCTAAATTTAATAGATAACCCCCCCACAAAATTTATCCTACCCCCATTAGCAGCTTAATCCCTACCCCCTCAAAAAAATAGGATGCAAACTGTTCCTACCCCTCCCGCTCATGTAGACTCTGTGGGAACTACCTAAAATATCCAATAGTCGATTAACGCGCTTGGCTTGGAAAATATCCGCATATGATTTTGATATTGAATATGTTCCAGGAAAAGAAAATAAAGTAGCTGATACTTTATCTAGAGTGCCAGTAGAAGGCATAGAATCAAATAAATCCAAAAAATGCGTTAAAAATCAGAGCTATAAATTTGCACGATGTAAATATTAGTCAAGTTGAACTCCAAAAAGAAACAAGGAATGATAGCTTGTTTAAAAAAGTAGTTAAAAACATTGAGCGTGGATGGGTGGATTTTGATGCGAAAAAAGATACAGAGTTAGTTTGTTTTTATAATCGTAGAGAGGAATTGTCAGTAGATCATGATAATTCCAACCGTTTTGAGAAAATCAATATTAACGATTATACACAGAGGACATCCAAGAATAAATGCTATGAAATCAATTTTTAGAATTTATTATTGGTGGCCTAATTGCGATAAAGACATTGAACAATATGTTCGTCAATGTATGTCATGTCAAAGTAACCGGTCGATTATTATGGAGGTTCCTTTATATTAGTGGAACTTATCTAATATGCCATGTGAACGAATTCATTTGGATTTCGCGGGGCCTATTGATTCGTATTCATGGTTAGTTGGAGTTGATGCACATACTAAATGGGTTGAGGTTGAGTTAATGAGAGAGACCACGTCCACGACAATGATCAGGGCTTTAAGGAAATGGTTCGCATGGTTTGGAACACCTAGACAAATTGTATTAGATAATGGACCTCAATTTATTTCTGGAGAATTTCGAAAATTTTGTTTCGAGAAAAATATTAAATTGATACATACAACACCTACCATCCAAAAACGAACAGTTTAGAGGAAAGAACGATACGAACCCTCAAGAGTCGATATTTTGCAACTAGGAAAGACATCAGGGAGCCTGATGAAGCCATGGCAGAAGTTTTGATAGCGTATATAATGGGTGAACATCAATCAACTGGACGTTCACCGGCAAAGTTATTATTGGGGCGAAATAAAACGGGATTAAATTGGTTACATCCAAATGTTAGGAATGAAATGGAACGATCGAATATATGACAAAAAGCAGCGCATGATGAACATAGTCAAATGAGGGAATTTGAGATTGCACAACCGGTATGGGTCATAATGAGATAAATTCAGGTTGGAGAGAAGGAATTATAAAATCCAGAACTGGTAGATATTCTTATTTGGTAGAAAGCAAGGATAAAATGGTACGAAAGCATGCGGATCAACTTCGAAAAAGGGAGGTAGCTAAAGAAATAGAGAAGTCTGCCAGTGGAAGAAAATAAAGAAAATATGTAGTCAGAGAGAGAGGAAGAAGATATAAAAAATAGAGTCATATATAGTTGAGATTTTAGAAAATGTGGAAGATAACGGAAAACTAGAAACGCGGAAATCACAAAGAGCTAGGAAACCTACAAATCGGCTGATTGAGGAATTGTAAGATCATATGTGTGGGGATATGTTATAAATGAGATATATTATATATATTATTGTTATAAATGTCATATACATATCAATCACATAGTTTTATAATAATTGTCATGTGATAGAATACTTGATTTACATATACATAGCGGCAATGTGAAAATTCCGGCAATGTGAGGTAGTGGTAGGCAGGGTAATTTTGTTATTTCGGCAAAGTGCACATTGCCGGGTTAAATCAGGCAATGTATTCTATTTTACAAATTAATAAATTTGTTATTTATTTGAGATTAATTTATCATTTATTTGTGATTAATTTATTATTACTTTAATAAATTTTTTTAAATATATTTTTTTGATTGATTTTTTTTTAAAATATATTAATAATTTGTTACATTATATTTTTTGATTGATATTTTTTTTTAATATATTTTTTTGATTGATTTTTTTTTAAAATATATTTTTAATTTGTTACAATATAGTTTTTGATTGATATTTTTTTATATATATATATTTTTTTTAAATATATTTTTTTGATTGATATTTTTTTAAAATATATTTTAATTTGTTACAATATATTTTTTGATTGATATTTTTTTATATATATTTTGATCGCTAATTTTTTTAATTTTAGTGTTATATGTTTTTTAAATAAATTTTTTAAATATATTTTTTTTAAATATATTTTTTTTGATTGATATTTTTTTTATATTTTATATTTTATGTGTTTATGATTTTTTTTAATAAATTTTTTTAAATATATTTTTTTGATTGATATTTTTTTTTAATATATATATTTTTTTAAATTTGTATTTGATATATCTTTTGATCGCTAATTATTTTAATTTTTGTGTTATATGATTTTTTTAATAAATTTTTTTGATTGATATTTTATAATATATCTTTTTAATAAATTTTTTAAACATATTTTTTTGAGATATTTTTTAATATATATTTTTAAAATGATTATTATATATTTATGTTTTACGTAATTTTATCTATTATATATCTTTTGATAGATAATTTTTTAAGTAATAGTGACAAATGTCATAATCGTTATTTTTAAACTTTTTTGAGTTTTTTTAAAGTAAATGGGTAAAAATATGTTTTGTAAACATGTTAAATTAATATTTCAGTGAAAGTGTACTATAGAAAAGTGACAATTGTCATAATCGTTATTTTAGAACTTTTTTAAGTTTTTTTAAAGTAAATGGGTAAAAATATGTTTTGTAAACATGTTAAATTAATATTTCAGTGAAAGCGTACTATAGAAAAGTGACAATTGTCATAATCGTTATTTTAGAACTTTTTTAAGTTTTTTTAAAGTAAATGGGTAAAAATATGTTTTGTAAACATGTTAAATTAATATTTCAGTGAAAGTGTACTATGAAAAAGTGACAATTGTCATAATCGTTATTTTTGAACTTTTTTGAGTTTTTTTAAAGTAAATGGGTAAAAATATGTTTTGTAAACATGTTAAATTAATATTTCAGTGAAAATGTATTAGGAAAAAGTGACAATTGTCATAATCGTTATTTTTGAACTTTTTTGAGTTTTTTTAAAGTAAATGGGTAAAAATATGTTTTGTAAACATGTTAAATTAATATTCCAGTGAAAGTGTACTATGGAAAAGTGACAATTGT